CTAATGGACCATCTCTTGATGGATCTCTGGATGAACACGTGGAATGCGTTAGATGACGAAGTAGTGGCTGCCCCGCGCTGTGACTATCTTTAAGAAGAAACTGGATGCATTCATGGACTGGCAAAAAGGTGGGGGGCAATGTTGACATTACTAGACAGTAAGCAACTATGGTAGTAAAAAAAAATATAAAAATATATATATATGTAGCTTTAAGAGGGTTAGGCCTATCCTAACATTAAGGAACGCTCGACTTCGACACGTGATATCGAAATTGGTGAAATCGCCTCTTGATATCACTATCTTGAACCTTGAATCTTGAACCGGTTTGCAGCAGGTTTACCTGGCACTAGCTTTTCAAACCGGAGAACGGAGGTACGGAGGGTAAACATATAGCGTGTGCGATCCTGTCCGCTAGCTAGGTCGAGAGACGGTTCTTTTTTTCTTTTTGCTTGTGTGTATGTGTGTGACAGCTCCACAGGCCATACGCTTCCAGATATGAACTTGGTGTTTCGACAGAACTCTTCATTTCCATTCGAGGATATGCCTTTGAGAAATGAAATTTCAAATCAACCTCGTGAAAGGGAGTGGAGGCAATTTTCACGGAATATTGTTGTTTCACTCTCGTCCCTCCATATCTAGGATAACCGAGAAGGCGAGAGTTGCCTTGTTACTCGCAAGTGAGCGCCTGCATCGCTCAATGCAGTGCGACACTGGTGTCTGGAATACAGGGATTTTAAGCGTCCATATATGTCACCATAAGTCTTGATACATCCCCTGGGGAATTTTTTCAAGGGGAGATGGTTAAAAAAAAAATTGTCCTGGCGAATTGGACAGAAATGGAAGGTGAAACTTGGCACACGTGTAAGTGATATGATGCTATTGAGTTGAAGGGGGATTCAGCTTTCATTGTGCATCCCTTCCGGGCATAGCTTTGGGGTGCGTCGGCTTTTCCAAATATATATTTTTTCCAGCGACAGGGCAAACGTATAAGGTTGAAAATTTGTGGGCATGTAGTTCTCTCAGGATTGATTTCGGTTTAAAAAAAATATACTTATCGGTTAAAACGCCTAAGGGCACATATATATGTCGTAAAAGGCTTACTTTCTCCATCCAGCAAAACAAAGAGCGCTATAAAGTGTAAACTTTAAAAAACTTTTAAAAAAGAACTTGATGGATATGTGAGTAAAGAAAAGATTATATTTCCAAAATATTTTGGGGGGAATATTTTTTGGGAACGTAACGTTTTCACAGAATTTTTCATATCCCAGCGAATCGGGCAGAAATAGAAAAGTAGCAATCGCCGCACGCATAACGGACTTGATGTTGATTTAAGGAAAAATTCAACTTTTGGTGTGCTCTCCTCAGAGCACATCTTATGGGAGTGTCGCTTTTCCAAATACAATTTTTTTCCGCAAGCGAAAAGAGGAAACATGAAAGGCTGAAACTGAATGGCATGGAGTTCCCTGAGTCTGCATTTCAGAATAATTAAATTTTTCGTTAAAACACATTGGGACACTTTTTTCAGTCCCATTTTCCTGACTTTTTTTGATGCAACGGATCAGAGACAGAAATTTTAAACTTCGCTCGGAAGTCCCTGTTTGATGACTGTGTACAGGAAAAATCCTATTTTTGAAATATGTCTCCTTAGTGTAGGTTATAGGAGAGAAGTGGTTCAAAATGTATCCTCCACCCTTACAAAAAGGGACACATGAAAAGATTTCAAGTTAGGCACTCTGGAAATAATCAAAGTAATGATTTGATAAAAATGAGGGCATTCGTCCCCATATGTCACGTATTTCAATTAAGACTTTTTAAAACGCGTGTTTCCTATTTCGCAAAAAATAAATGAATTAATCACTAGCTAAGGTAATGGAGCGCCGCAGGCGCGACCATAGTAGATAATATATATATAGATGTTCATGCTCAGGATGATTAAGGCAACATTATGAAACCTTTATAACAGAAATTCAACGACCGAGGTCCACCGGTTTCGATAATTTCCGTCCAAAATAATGCACTGAACAGGCGCATGTATTTTCAACTTTCCTTGAGAGATACTAAATAATATATTATTAAATATTTTACGGCGCTTCTCTCACAAATAAAATATATCAGATTAATGAGGGCACCCATGCTTCATTGAGTGAAGAATGCCATTTAAGGACCTCCAAATTAGAAGAGAAATGTCATTAGAAGGCGCGAAAATGACCCACTTTAAGGGGGAAAAACGATCCCGACAATCGGAGAATTTCTGCGTGAGAAAATAGGAAATATGGTTCCTGCTTAACATCGACTTCACTTTCCTCGTTGTAGACGACGGACACTTTCCACATTGGAAAAAATTTTGCAGAAAATTCCAGACATGGTAAAAGATATGGAGTTTTCATCTAAAACGTGGAAAAGAGAGTTCCGCTTCTCAGTAGATAACAAGTCTCCTATTTTCTCACTAAGCATACTCTTACTGGACGATATCATAATCGATCCCTCTGGCTAGAGCTAGCAGGAGAGCTCTCCTCTCATCATCGCGTAAATTCCAATTTTTCATCGGAGGTGGTTTCTCGTAAAAAAAAAAGAAGTATTTTTCTGTATCACTTGTGAATTCCTTAATTGATTAAGTGTATTCTTCGAAAATTCTGTTCTCCACTTGAAATACTGTGGGAAACGTCGAATTTCATTATCGGATCATTCTATCTCAAATCAGTGAGAGGCCGGAGCAAAAGGAATTTGTTAGGGGCAAACATCATTAGATCTTCAGCTGATTCCAAATACATATATTATGATAGGGTTTTATGAACGTGACGTTTTTGAATGTGCCAAAAATGGTCGAATTTGACATGGCTTTTCTTTTATTCAGTATCGCCTCGAGGAAAAAATTACATAAAGGAACTTTAAAAGTCAAACGTTTTTAAAGAGCAATGGTGTTTGCTGCGTTCATTTTGACTAGAAAGTTGTCGGCCCACATGAGAATGAAGAGGTGCCTCTTTTTTGAAATTTCACAAAAACTTCACGAATTATTGTGCCAAAACGGTGCCATAAACGAAGTCAAAATTGTGCATTCTTACTTTGGGTATGAGGGGTGCCACATAATAAATGTTCGTCAATATTTGAGGGGGTCATGCTCTAGCCTTTGGCTGATTTGAGATGGAATCATTTCGCAACCTACCCTCATTGTTCAGTGTTCCGTCTTGGGGAAAAATAAAATAACTTCTTCAAGCATTACTCACTGACGCGATTATTTAAAACTTCTTCGTCATGGCTTTCAAAGAAGATCACGTCAAACTGTCGTTCCCGTACTTTTCCATGGGAGGAGTGTATGGAAAAGACGATCGTTGCCTTAAATATCTTAACGTATCTTCCTTTGATGTGACGTTGTGGGTTGCTGACACTCAGAAAAATGTAGATGATGCACGCGAAGCATGGCCCTCATCGTTACCGAGAAGTTCCATTCCCTACAGGGTCTTCTCCCTGTCTTTTTCCTCGTTTCCCCAGTATCCCTTCATTAAATTTACATAGGTCTGTGGGATATGGGTTTTTAATGTATCGATATCGCCTGATATCGCGATATCGCCAGGGTTCAATCGCGGGGGGGTGTTAACGGCGCATTTATTTCAGGATAAAACCTCTTTATTTTGGTAATGATTCAGACATGATCTCGAATGCATGACATCATGATAGTTTGTTGTTCAAACCTAGAAGAGGTAACATATCGACGATCTCTGTTGCAAACCATGTTCGTTTGCAAAAAATCCATCTCCCGAAAAGAGAGGCTCACATGGGACGAAAGTTCCGTGAATTCGCAGGTATTTGCGAGCCAGTTCGGCAAGCAACGGGTGTCTCCTTCCGATATGACTCTGCCGTATCGGTGGGTCATCGATCTTCATTTCGCGGCTTTATTAATGTAAGATCGAACGAAATTAATGTCGTTGATTTCGTCCTGCGGCTCTGCTTCTGCAGGTCCGTATTTGTCCGTGTGGGTCAGGAAAGTGATAATTTCCTTGTATGACTTCCTGCTGGAGACCGTGATGGATTCCATGGTAGATTCTCTGATTCAAAATGTCATGAAAGAGTCATGAGCCCGTGAGTGGTTTTCAAGGTGTTCCTTTTTATTTTAAAGGAAAGGTAGGTCATGCGTTTAAAGCCTGGGAACCGATTTTCCTCGGAACCACTTCGTCCGAAACGGGAGAAGCTGCAAAGAATGATGGAGTGGTCCTTTTAGCGGCGAGACTCGATTATCGCCACAATCTAATTTAGGTCGCAATATGCGAGAGATTGGTCATATTCCCAGAGACTGGAATTTCCCTTCCTTTCAGTGCGGCTTCTTTTTCATATTCCGGATGGGTATTGCATTCGTTGCGAGAATAAATTCTAGACGCATTTCGCATTACAGACTTTCCACGAGCGTGAGGTATGAGTTTCCAGTTCTTTTCCATCAGCAAAAATTGGCCGTGGTTTCATATTACTCGGGGCTGACTGAATCCGAGTGCTGATTTCCATCATTTCGCCTCGAGGAAATTTTCCAGGAAAAGGAACCATCGGGGAGGACTGTAGTCCACAGATTATCCACTAACTCCCTTTAAGGCATTATGATGTCACGATTGTGGGGATTTCGAGGGCTCGCGGGAGACCTCTTCCGTTCGGGTCAGAAACTAAAGGTGTCGGGTAGCTCCCCTAAGGTGTCGATATAGGAAGGTACGTTTGAAAATGGGAAATTTTCGCGGAATATTCGAAACGGACTTTTTCCCCGACGCGAATGGGACGCATCGTTCGTTTAAGGATCCAATTTCGAATTTCGGTTCCTCAACCGAAATATTTTATGAAAAATAAAAAAGATCCGTGAAGATAACAAAAATGTAATGTGTACTTCAAAGAAGGAGAGCAACAAGGAAATCAATTTCTGCACGTTGCCTTATGCGCATGCAACCTGTTCATTGTACGGAAACTTGTCAAGAAAATATTTTCTAAATAGAGTACAATGTCATCTTTTTATTAGAAGTAAGTCACACCGTTGTATCTCTCCATTAAAAAATGTTTCCGACTTTTGCACATCGCCCGTCCGGAACGAATTACAGATGTGGCTGAAGTAGGAAAAGATGACCATCGTAGTCTTTACCCGATCACCGTCTCGATCCACTCGACGTATCTGAGAAAGGGACATGAAGACTCATGTTCCAACAACGATCGATGAGATGGATCTGTACTTGCGAATCCATAGAAAAATGGATAGAAGGAAAAGCGAGGGCCTCACCGATGAACCCTGGTGAAAATCCCATATTCGCCACCCCGCCTCTTGGAGCATTCCTTTTTGCCGAGATGGTGANGGTGTAGATGAATAGCTAAAATGAATTATTGGATGGTCCACCACCACCAAAAAATAAAGAAATTATGTTCATTTAAACAGTAATTTATGTGTAGAAGATAAAATCTGGGTAGAGAAACTATTATAAGTCCTCTTACAAAAACATCCATATTTTAAATACGTATTGCAAAAAGATGCAGACGTCCTTTCTTGATCGGGATGGAATCACGAGGACATAATGCACGAACGGAAAATTACTAAATGACTTAATATCAATTTCCTTAGAGGCATTTACCCGCCTCTTGGCCATACCTGTCTCAGAGATAGTCCTGTTTTGCCCAGCACAGAATTGATTGACGGTGAGAGTGCGGTAGGTGTCAGGATTGCCAGGGAGATAAATGAGATCCCGACGACAAATATTATTTGCTACCACCGGGATCTGTATTTTCGTTAATTCTTCGCTGAGGACATCCGAACTGCTCAAACCCCAAGCCGCCACCTGCCGTGAAACCGCGCCGATGTCGAGAAACTGACGCTTTCGGGAACGAGCGGAAATGAAACTAAGTCTCACCGATCCTATGTTTCCATCCTTGAGGTTGTTCTCTGTGATCTGAAGATTCTTCGGGATGCAGATCAACTGCACTCTGTCCGTCAACTGGACCGGCTCGGTCAGTTTCAGTAGGGCGATGTCAGAGTCGAAGTTATGAATGCTGAAGTCTTTGGATGAAACGATCACAGATACCTGGAAACGAACTGTATTAATTTACATCATGTAACGCTGCAATATCGATACGGGAGCGATATAACAATAACTCGGTGACCTCTCTCTGCTGGACGAAGTTATCGTCCAATGAATCATTCCGATAATGTTTCCCCAAATAAACGCGGAAGTCATTCTGAGGCCGAGGTCGTGAGGAACCACCATATGCGATACAATGAGCTGCCGTGAGAACCCACTGCTTCCAAATGAGAGCCCCTCCGCAAACGATGAGTTTCTTATCGACATCGTAAATGGCAGCCTGCCATGGCCATTCTCCGAGACTCGACGGCTTGCCCCCAGCCGACAACCCCGTCACCAACAGCCTCTTCCCACATTCTAGGTCGGGAGGAGGGCTGCATGCTGAGGTGCGGTGGATTTACCTCGGAGCGGTGGAGGATCGAGACTCACCCGGATCGCAGAAGGGGATGTGACCAGTCCATTTTCCGCTCTCTGTGCAGATCCGGACCGACGATCCCCTGATATTATAATGATCGTCGCACTTGTATTCCACTTTGCTTCCCGGCACGTACTTGCCGTCTCTGATGCAATCTGTGCTGATTCCTACGTCGGCTTCTCCACTTGCACTGCCAAAAGAAATTCCATAATATTTATTTTGTACCAGGCCAATTTTCTTAAACAAATACAATATAGACAAATTTGGCATGAATCTTGGAAATTTTTTTCCTCACCTCGTGAAAACACCTGAGCAAGACTTTCGCACAAATCCGTTCAGGAATTCATGAGGTTCTTCGCATCCTCTCGAACCCACGACTGGAACAGATACAGATCTGAAGTGTTCTTAAGCATTTTTCTTCGTTCAAGATATGGGTGAAACCTTTGACACTTTATAGGCCGTGATGCAGTAGTTCGCGCATTCAATTGATGTACCTATATTTTATTTCACTCATTTTCGCGAAAGAAATACGCATGATCCGCATCTTCTAAAATGTTTGACTAATTTTCCACTTCGAATCCGGAACCATTTATTCATTTGAACAATGTACAGGCTGTCTGAGAAGTTGTGAACGAATTCAAATTGTAATTTTTAGACGCCCCGCACCCGGATCAAAAAGATCTTTTCAACATTGAAAGCTGATTTTTGTGGGAAATTATTTGACGCATGAACAGACATGATGGATTAAAATGAGATCAGTTCGAGAGGGTTTTAGGAACATGCCTTTTCCATAAGCATTTCCATGGAAATCATGTATTCCTGGAGTACAACAGAAATAGGAGCAACACAACTCAAACAATGACGGCTCATATGACACTTGAATTCATTGTTCAAGCCTACCTGTAGTCGATCATCGTGGGCTAAGAATGTCTCACGTTTCATCTCAAAAGTGACCTGATTACATGTCTTGTGAATGCGTTCTAAGCTCATCCAAGTTGGCGATCTACGCATATTTAAAAAAATAATGCTGTTCAGAAAAATCGTCACCACTCTTCTCATAATGATGCGTGTGCTGCGAGCGAAATATATCAAATTGAAAAAACTCTCCAAAATTCTGTTTTCAATGCCGTGTAGATCGTTTCGATCGCGCAGAGGATATGCGATTTGCATTGGTTCACTACTTCTGAGACACCCTGTACATTTAATTTCCTTGATATGATNTTCGCTAACCATCCAGCTTCACAATCGCATTGAATGGTATTCCCTGCTGGTGTTCCTCCTTCCGGGGAAAATGCTGGACAAATCAATATTGGAACGGCTGTATTATTCAATTTCTCATTCATCATGTGACGCAAAATAACGGGTTTTGGGAGATCGTAGAGTGTTGCGAGAAAAACCGTGACGCTCACAATTCACGTTAAGGATCCCGTTCCCGCGCGAGAGGACTTGTAGAATGGACTGGAAGCTTTCCTTCGGGAAAGTGGCGATATTGTTGTGTTGTAGATCAACATTCGTTTTGGGTGTCAAATCTGGAATGGACAAGAGACCATCATACGCTTTTCGCTTACTACTTCCAAACAATACTGAAAAAATGTGCAGAGGTTTGTGATTGACTTGGTATGATAAGCCAAGAACGCCTCCGTTCAATCTAATTGCATCTCAACTGAGTCATGTATCACTGAAAATTCCAGTAATAGGATTATTTGCATCGTTCAATTCATGCTGAAGACTTTGTGAGATGAGCTAAACAACATCTTCACCTGAATGATACATTTCATGGTATGCTGACACTAATCCATTTCATGGTAGAAACATGCACCTGCAAGGCGGACCACTCCCATAGTGCGATTCGCGGTAAGCGTGACAGCGGTATAGGCGTGACCAAGGCCCACGTTTCTGTTTCTGGTACTGTTATGTATCAAATATGGAACATAGATGATAAGGTACCTAATTGCGTTTGTCCTGCTTCGCATATCTCATGGAATTCCACAGCTTCGATTGAGTGATATATGTTCATAGCCTTATGTAAATTCTAGTATTTAATTCGGCTAGTTTATTTCCACATCCACTGAGTGATACATATTGCTAAAAAAAAAAGGTCCCTTTTCTACGAGTATATTATGCAAAGATTGATCGGTGTCGCATAGAATTTTACATTTTTGGAGGTCAATTCAGACCACACATTAACATAGCATCTCCCAGAACTTTAATGTCTTCTTTCTTTTTACGAAAATACCCATAAAAATATACCGGTTGCTATAGTAGATTATAATTCTGTGAACATTTTGGAGTCAATATGCACTGTAAAAAATATTTCATCACAATATTGAGTTATTGGCCGATTGAACGAAAGGAACGAGGCGTCGAACTGGGAAACCTGAGAAAACGCTCATCTGTTCATCGTTAATTTTAATCAAATTTCAAACATTGCTCAGAAGGACGAAAGCCTCAGAACCTTTTGAAATGTGGGACTCAGTGCCCTTTGACTTTAAGACACTTTCGGAGAGCACTTAAGACATTTTCCATTCGAAAAGTCGTATTCCTGAAGGCCTCGAGGCCAACTAATTTTGGATTTCCTACGACCTGTGATCTCAGAGGAGGGTATATTAATAATTTGAAAATTTTTCAAACGTACGACCTCGGCTAGTACATGAACCCTGGAGTTCTCGGGCAAATGAGGAAAGCGATTAATGAGAGAAATTATTGTGCTTTCATGCCCAGCCGATTGAAATCTGCAAGGCGTAACTCAAAAACCGAATTTCAAGGACTTAAAAAAAATTAATCCTAGGATGAGGCGGAGAAAACGATCTAGGTTTACGTCTCTCGAAGAAGTAAAAAAAAAAATCGATAGGGCAACAACATTTTCCTCGTTGAAATGTACGTTCCTAAATTCAAGTCAGGAGTCTCGTTCGATGTTTGTTCACTTCCATCCGCTCGAATTACTCAGAATACGAAGAAAAGTTTCGCCTACTGCAGTCACCATGAAAGTCCTGGTTAGCGGCAGATGGTGTAGGAAATTGTTATGGAAACGAATCGAATGTACCGAATCTGTGCACTCGAATTAGCGGAAACCAACAACTAAAAATCGATGTCTGTAGGAAACACACTGATTTTGCACGCCCTCTCATCCAGCACCCACCCCGCCACTGAAATAGAAGACAGGGGCCAAATTTGAATTCCCCGGACGCAGCGGTGCGCACAATGGGGAATGCTGAAGGACCCAGTAGATACCGCAATCATCCCCACATCTCCGAATTCGGAGCTAGGAAATTATTAATCTGGCCCGACAGACATTTGGGGAAAATCGCATCCACGATCTGAAGGGGAAGGGGGCTGGACGAGGACTGGGGATCCTACCTGTGATGGCTCCGGGCTCCAACGTGACGATTTTATTCCAAGCGAGATTC